TTAAAATATAAATATAATAAAACATATAAAATGTTACAATAAACAATTATAATTTATATAAAAAATTCAAATGTAATAAAAATTGAAGAATCTGACCTTTTTATTTATTTTTGGTTTTAATTCTGAGTTAAACTGAATTTATGGCGCTTAATTTATAATTATTATCGTCGTTTCAAATGCTGTTCGGCATGGCCAGTTAGGATCAATTTAAATTTTGTGATTTGAAAGAAATGATAGTTCTAAAAACCATTGTTGTGTACTGCTTTCAAGAGACTAAGCACTCACTGTATATTTTTCAGTACGCCAGCAACCTGGGTTCGATCATTCGCGTTACCACTGAAATTTTTGATTGCAATTTGAAGTGCTGATTTACGAATTAGGAAACCTGCTCCGCTTACAATCTATCGTCATGGGAATGCATTTTTCGAGCTCATGGGGTGATAAATTTTAATGTTATCGCGCCTGAGACTCCAACCCGTTACCATTAGCCATTTACTAATATATATATATATATATATATATATATATATATATATATATATATATATATATATATATATATATATATATCGATTGGACATTCTTGAAATAGCGATACTTTAAATGTATGTTTGTCGACAACATCCATTGATACAATCTCAAAACTTAACTTGGACAACAGATCAGTCCTAATGCTACTAACTGTGCCAGCCCGCAGGTGAGGTCCCTCAGGCCAAAACCATCGTGGACTGGCACTAGCTCGAGATCATACTCGAGTCTATGACGTCGCAGCACTTAGATACGATTCCCGACAAAATAAACTGCCAGAGGAAGCCGATTAATGCTCCATCGGCCTACCTCACCTCAGCGGGCGAAGAATGCTCTCTAAATGTTCTCGTATCGAGCAATAGACACCTGAAGCTTCCGAGTGATATTCGACTACTGATCAGAGTGAAAAAAGCGGCCCTAAGACGATACGATTATGATCAAGACGACCACACAGTAGATAACAAATTTGGATTGTGCTACCTCTGCAAGTCCTCCTTAAGTCCTGTGACTGTGGACGATGTCACAGAAATCATCAAAAACCTTAAAAAGAAATCAGCACCCGGTCCTGGCGGCATTAGCAGGGTGCTGAAATCCCTTTCAGTGCCACTTGTTCTTCTTTTCAGCTGCTCCTTCTCGGAAGCATGGAAGGTAGCGGACGTTATGGGGAACCCGAAAACCAGGGAAACTGCGTAGCTAAGCCCCAAGCTAAAGACCCATTAGTGTATTCAGCACACTGGTGAAAGTTTACGAATGAATAATATTGATTCGCCTCCGTAAACACGTCCTTGCCAATAAGCTTCCTGACGAACAGTTAGGTTTCAGACCCGATCACTCGTGCACCAATCAGATTCACCATCTTACGGATTATATCCTAGAGAGCTTCTCCCTTCTCCCACTCAAGGAGTAACGGTCGAATCCGTAAAACTGTTGCCCTTTTCTTCGACGTCACCAAAGCGTTTGATCAAATTTGGCACGACGGCTTGCTTAACAAGCTGTTTAAATTTAACGTGCCCGATAGGCTCACTCACATTATCAGAGCCTTCCTTGTCAATCAGCATTTCCGTTTTAGTTTAAATGTAACTCGCTAATCCAAGAGCCCTCTCAGGGCTGAAGTCTCACAGGACTCTGTTCTCTACTCACTCCTCTTTACACTTTATACGAGTGACATCACAAAGGACAAAGTTGTCAACATCGCTCTCTTTGCAGACGACACGGCACTTAACGTCACACATTTCAAGAAGACGTTTCTCACGATGCTCCAAATAACCGCCCATAGCTTACGCGAATGATTTCGCTTATGTAGATACGAAGTGAAGTCTGAAAAAAGTATAGCAATGTACTTTCAAAGGAAACCCTCTCTTAATTGTCGGATTATTTTAACGAAAATTCTCTAAGCACGATCACACTATTCGGCTGAAAGATGCCGTAGCAAACAACCGTTAAATACCTTGGGGTCCTAATCAACCACTCACATTCGCACCGTTCGCAATCGTGTCAAATTCATCACTAATCGCTTCCTTCCGCTTGTTAACAAAGCTTGCGTAAGACCTATCATATCCTAAACAAGCGTAGTCTTCGCGCGCGCGGCTCATAAATATTTGTACAACCTCCAAATCATCCAAAATAGATTAATTCGCATAGCCACCGGAGCTTGATGGTACCAGCAAAACTCTCTCTCTGAATATTTCAAGGAAATGTTGCAGTGCTACTTTGAGAGCGCTGATACACATCCCAATACGCTAGTGGTAAATGCAGTCGCCTACGTTCCGACTCTAAACGTTGAGCAAAGTTTCCGGAGGCCCTATAACATTTTGTAGGGACAGAGTAGTACATACAATTTGCTTAATTGACACTTTACACTTATGTTCGGGCTACGGAGGCGCTCGACGAAAACGCCAGTCGTTTCCCGTCACCGCACACGCTAGGCCGCTGACAAGTAGAATATATATATTATATCGCTGAATTCAAATATCTTTATCTGTAAATTGTAATTTCTTAATATAACATCAGTAACTCTTGAGATTTTAATTACTGAACCCGATAGGCACCTTTGGCTCTTTCTGTAAGTCATTTACGGAATAATCACGCATAAAAAATAGTATTTGAATAACCATACAACACGCACCCAAATCCCGTACAGTTTTAATTGAACCACCAGTTCCATTAGATTCCGTCGATCCAAATATCACAAGCCCGTCACACATAGACACTACACATTCACCTAGTGCCACAAATACTGATAGGACAACGGAAGAGACGCAGCGAGTCCGCAGACGGTCGCATATCATACTGGCGCGCCCCTGGGTGATTCTCACCGCCCAGAACGGCAAACGATACGTGTTAGCCGGCAGAACCGGTGCCGGCACCCCCTGCTAGGACTGTCGTTAGATAACTCACCCAAGTGCAATGTACACTATCATAGGAGTCATCGTTACGCAAAAATAATGATGCGGAATGATTTATATTCTCCCTTTTACAGCCTTTTAGGCCACGGGATCTGAGACCAAAAATACCGTAAAAGCCAAACTGCTAACAGCATTAACATGATCAGAAACCAGAGAAGAATAATAATTAAATTACTCAACTAAAAAGAAACATGCTGAATGTGTGAAGAACATTATTCCATCCCAGTAGTAAACCGGAATAACTCTCTTGACATTCTTGATCCTGATCCGTCCTGAACTAGCTGAACACTTGTTGCAGTTTGGAGCAGAATTGAAATACGTACGCTTTTATTCAAAGAGCAACAAGAGCCACCAGCGGACTGAAGGTAGTAGCCGTGGCGTTTTTATGTCGTCATAGAATTGTCTGTCTTTTTTGCGGGGAGAAAAATGCGCAAAAATAAGTAAACTAATTCGAAACATACTGACTGTTCTTATTGTAAATTTTAAGATCAAAAAGAAATACATTGCAATAATACGAATAAAAATTTTAGCCGCAAAAAAGAAACTAAACAAATTTGCAGTTTTGTTGGACTTTGATTTAGCCGCGCAACTATATTTAATCTGGTGAGCAGTGCGACTGCAACAAGTTTCATTATATGCGTGGTTGCGTACGTGTGTTTATACTTTAACTAAGGGGAGCGCCTGCGTATGGCTACTCCTATCCGGTCATCATATTATTACAGAAGTTTCGCTGTTCTTAGGATTTATTAAATACAATAAAAAGGTTTTCTTATAACACTACAATTCATTTATTTATTTCTTTTTGTAAGAAACCACCCTTAATTCGTTAGTGCCATCTGGGTACAGCGCGCCTTTACTTGACATCTTTCCTTTCATGACAATCTCGTCGTGTATCTCACATAAGCAGCTTTAATATCAGCGATTGTCTTAGTTTGAGTTTAGTTTAAACCGCCGCGTTTTGTAAATATGTAGATATATATTACATGTAATTATCGTGTGTATTATTTTTATATAAAATTTTTAAGCTATTGCATAGCTTCTATCGCGGGCCTTGAGCGCGGGGACCGAATCCAGAAATTCATTCCGTAACGAAAAAACCTCACGCTCCTCACTCCGACGGGCACGGAGGTGTGGCTTGAAGGCCGTGCATTGTCTAACGATGGTCTAACGTCGTTTCTTTTCGGCAGTCTTCGACACGGTGTTTGTGTATAAAGTGTTTTGAATATGAATGAACAAAGCGCATTTATTATTAATGAAGAAAGTCACGAAAAAATAGTGTAAGAAAATGAATGAGTACTCTATATACATACATTTTATTATTATCACAAATGCAGTACTAATTTTGAATTGAAAATATAATACTGCTATAAAGATAACCTAAATTTTTGATATTAAAATGAGCGATATTAAAAGTAGCCCTCTTTATATACACACAAACACACACACGCGTATAGTTTAAATTCTCACAATATATATATATATATATATATATATATATATATATATATAAATAAATTCATTCTTCATTATGATATATAACAGAAGCCATCGAACCAAGCACGTGTACTATTCAGTACCTTTGTTTTTGGTGTATAGATAATGCACATGAATGCCGCGCAGAGAAAGTATATATGATATTATATCTATATAAATGTACATCACGTGTACATCACGCGAAATTCGATAATCACTTCTTAATATCGTTATTTTTTTTAAATGAATAATTTTGTTTTGGTGTGTCATTACACTATTTATACAAATTATTTATATCTATTATTTATACCTAGATATTTTCGTTTTATAGAGAAGAAAAGCGTAAAGAGCTAAAAAGAAAAAAAACTAATGCACGTCAAAGGGCATATTATCAGCGTCAGAAAGATTTGAAGAAAAATGAAGTACAAAAAACAGTACCAGAATCAAATGCTGAACGTCAAAGGAAATTTCGTCAACGTTACATGGATATGTAATTTGATTTAATAATAATATTATTTATTTATTTATTTAAAAACAAATTGTAATATATGCTTCAATATTATTTAATTTAACGATTTCATCATTTTTTTACAGAAAAGGACGAAAATTGTACAGTAATGAAGAGAATATAGTGCAATGTAGCGCTGTTGAAAATATAGAAAATGTAACGCTACAAGAAAATCAATTTCACAGCCAACAACTTCATATTTATGAACAGCGTAATGAATGCATTACTCCCGAAGTTATTCTACACAGAAACACAGGAATTCCTGGCGATGGTAATTGTCTATTCCACTCGCTCATAAGTGTTTTGCAACTTCAAATTAAGAGTTGTGACTTGAGAAATCAGTTACGCGATTCACCCTATTTAAACTCCTGCCACAATCCGCAAGAAGCATATAACATTCTATCAAGAAGTAATGATTACGGAGATTTGGATTGTTTGTACTTATTCTCAAAAATGTACAATCAAAATATTTGTGTACATTATTGTTTTTACAACATAACTACAACGAATGAAGACACTATCTTTTGTCATTTTAAAGCGAATGATACACAAAACTGGATTCATCTTCATCTTCGTGAACAACATTTCACACCTTTTTATGAAGTATCAGATTTATTGGAAACAGTAAAGACGCTACCTAAAATGAAGCCCATGTTGATGCCAATATTGTACTATTGTGTGATAATTATATAGATCCTACCGAAGATAACCATAACAATCATGTAAATGAAATTGAGATTGATAGAGAAGATCGAATTGGTGAAAATACTATGGATTTTATTGATGATGGTACTATTCCAGTTTATACAAATTATCGTAAACACAGTACAAGTAATATTAATTTTTATAAAGAATTTACGAGGAATTCATTCGGTCATTCTTGTATTATTTGCGACAGACTATGGTGGAAAGGAGACTTGAAAAAGTCGACCAGTAAACATGAAAGTATTTTGAAAACAATACTGCAGGTAATTTTATTTTTTAATTATTCACTTTATATTTTTCTTTCTATATCTTGATAATACGAATTTGATTTTTTTAGAATTACATACCTGGTAAAATTGTTCAAGTCTGCTCTACGTGTTATACATATTTGGAAAAAGAAAAAATTCCTCTCATGTCAACCTACCATGGTTTTGCATATCCGAAAATTCCATCACATTTACCAACGTTAAACCTTATCGAGCAACGGTTGATTTCCCCGAGAATACCGTTCATGCAGATTCGTAAACTGAGACACGTTAATGGTCAGTACGGTATTTATGGCCAGATAATTAATGTACCTGTTGAAGTTAATAAAATGGTGAAACAATTGCCAAGAAACATTGAAGATGACCATTGCTTTTATGTGCATTTGAAAAAAGAAGTTGATTCACAAAACTAGTTATGTCCACGGGCTTATAAATAAGAGCCATATTAAAGAGTGGTTGTCATATTTAGTATCTATGCCTCTTTATATTTATCATGACATTAAAATCGGTGAATCTTTTTTTTCCGGCAATGAACGTACTTCGCAATTGAATATGGATGAAATAAGTGAAAATGTGCCAATTGAAGACAATTTAGTTGCGCAGCAACAAACTCTTTTGTGGAATGATGATTATTTTTTGAGTATAGCACCCGGTGAATATAACAGGCCAATCAGTATTTTAATGGATGAACATGCGGAAGAACTATCTTTTCCGACAATCTACGGCGGTCAGTTTCGAACATACAGAGATGGTGTTATTGTTACTCCATTCATGCAAGCTACCAGCGAACTTCGGCGTACTGATAGGCGTGCTACTTACCCACAAGACCTTAGACATAAAAGAGTTGAGTTAGTAAATGTGTCAACGTTGCGTTTAAGCATGTTGGACAAGGTACTTCAATTACGAAAGAGACCATTCAATCTGAAGAATATATAAATAATTATTTAGAAACGAATCTCGCATTTCTTCGCTGCATACCAAATTCTGCTTGGTTTTGGTCAGATCACAAAAAAAGATGTTTTTGCAATGATTAGGCAATTAGGGCCACCAACTGCTTTTATGACTCTCAGCGCCAATGAAACTGCTGGCTGGGAAAATGTTGGAATTATTGTACAAATTGAAAAACGAGGGAACGGAAATTTCAGATGAGTTTTTAGCAGAAATGAGTTATGTGCATAAAGCTCAACTTGTGAATGAAGATGCCGTAACTTGTGCTATCTATTTTAATAAAATGGTAAATTGTCCGTTAAAAATTTTGCAATCAAAGAAAAGAAGTCCATTCGGAAAATATAGAGTAATACATTATTTCAAAAGAATAGAATTTCAACATCGTGGTAGCACACATGCTCATATTCTTCTTTGGTTGGACAATGTTCCTGAAGATTATTAAGTAATGATCCCGAAGTAATTAAATTAATCGACGAATTAGTTTCTGTGTCAGCGTCAGAGGCGTCTGGAAATATAAAACTAGTAACACATAAACACACATTCACGTGTTATAAAAAATGGATCCTAATAAAAAACAAGAATGTCGATTTGGTGCACCATTTATGCCTACAAAAAAAAAACTATTAATTTGATACCTATGAAAAACACTTTTCAAAGAATATAAGGAACGATTTAAATTTATTAAAAATAATCTCGAAAATATTGACTACACGGATTTTGATGAATTTTACTCGCATAATGGTATTATTTCTGATGATCATTACCACAATATTATTCGTGCTGGTATCAGTAGACCAAAATTATTCTATAAAAGGACACCAGCAGAAAAGTGGCACAATACTTTCAATCCATTCGTATTACATCATTTGAAATCCAACATGGATTTTCAGATTATACTAGATGAATATGCTTGTGCAACATATGTTGTTGAATATGTCAATTAGCATAATAGAGGGATTAGTAATTTGCAAGGACAAATAATTGACATAATGGACGAGCATCCAGAATTCGACATTGTCGATATCACGAAAAAAATGAGTATTGACATACTTCAGTCTGTTGAAATGCCGGCACAAGAAGCTGCTTGGTATTTATTAAGAGAACCTATGGCTAAGTCATCGGTGGTGTCAGTCTACATTCCAACGGTATTTCCTACTGAACGCGCTAGAATTAGAAAATCTATAAAGGAGATTTAAGCTTTAGATGATGATTGTACGAACATTTGGAAAGAGAATTGGCTTGATAAATATGAGAAAAGACCTGAAGAACTCCGCGATGCTACATTAGCACAATTTGTTGCAAAATATTACTTAAATACAAAGGGGACTTACACTAAAAGAGATACTGCAAGAATAATAAGATACAGGAACTACGATATGGCTGACAATTACAACGATTATAGGCGTGAGATGGTTCTGTTGCATGTTATGCATAAAATATGCATATTCCTGAAAAGAGTTTTAAATAAAATACTTTGTATAATATTTACTATGTCATTTTTAATCAATAGATTTTTTATTATAAAAGTACATAACTTATTTGCATAATTTCTCCTTGTATTGATTGGATCTTATTCCTATTCCAAATTAAATCAAAATTAAGGTGAAGCGGGCGCCAAACGCAGATTTTTCACGTTTTATGGGTGAGCAGAAAATCAATTTTTTGTCATTAAAAACTACGAAATCACTTTTTTTATTAAATAAAACTATTATTTACGGATTTTATCGCGTTTAATTCAACTTTAATTTATTTTTTATTATCCCGACGTTTCGGGTGCTTTACAGCACCCGTGGTCACGGGGGAGGGGGGGCTGGGACTGAGATGTTTGATATTCCAATGTCATAGTTCGGCTACCTTCAGTTTTTGAATATTAATTTTTGGTCCGATTTACGTAAAATTAGCTTATAGTATCATGAAGTATTGCAGTTTGTAAATTATAGGATCCCAAGCAGCTGGCAGCACCCATCCATCTTCTCTATTGAAATTTGGATGTTTTTTAATTTCAATAACCTCGCGTATCATCCTTGGTAGGAATCGGTGTTATTTTGCGAGGATTTGTGGTTTATGAAATCTAATTTAATGGTGGGGACGATCTTGAACATGTTCGCAGACTGCAGACTTCCCGGAGCGTCGGTGCTTCACGTTAGCTATATCCTACACGCGGTTTTTTATAGATCTTTTTGTTTGACCTATGTAAGAGAGATTACATTCACAATCTAGCTTGTACACACTTGCATCTTGTAGAGGAATATTGCATTTGATGGATGGTAAAAATTGACTAATCTTCTTAGGCGGCTTGTCGTATGTTTTAATGGACGCTCGCTTCAAGATGTAGCCAATCTTGTCTGTGACTCCTCTAACGTACGGTAGTACAACAGGCGCGCGCTCGACTGTGGTCGCCTTCACTCGTTCACTGTGACGTAGGCGCGGGACCATAAACTTGTTGTCTCGCAATACTTGCTTGACATGCTGAAGCTCAGCGGCCAGATGTTTTCTGTCACAGATCTCTCCTGCTCTCTGAAACAAAGATTTACCCACGGTAGCTAACTGTGAAGGATAATGGTGAGATTCCATGACCAATAGTGTCGTTATCAGATTTCGGATGAATAAAACATCTAGGAAGGCTAAAGAATTATTTGTCTCTAACTCCATTGTGAATTGTATTTTGGAGTTTATGGAGTTAAGGTGGTCTAAAAATGCAGTTACTTTGTCAGATGGTAAAATTGTGAAAGTGTCGTCTACGTACCGCTTGTAGAATCTTGGATTTACAGGAGCAGTAAGAAGGGCTTTCTCCTCAAAGTCCTCCATGAATACGTCGACGACTATGGGAGACACAGGTGAGCCCATCGCCACACCATCTACTTGTTTGAAGAACTCCTCCCTCCACAATAGATAGCCAGATGTGAGGCATTGTTTAAGTAATATTGCATATTTTTGAGGTATGTTATTTTCTTATAGCTTCCTAGTTACAATTGAGATGCAGTCAACAATAGGTAGGCATGTAAATAGTGACTGAACACCAAAACTGAGCATAGTTTCATTGTCAGCGAGATGTAGGTCTTTTATCTCACTCACAAAATGGTATGAATCCTTTTTGAATGCTCTGGTATGTCCTCTCAGTGGTGATAGTATTTTTGCTAAGTATTGTGCCAGCTTATAAGTTGGTGAATCGATCTGGCCCACTATGGGACGTAGTGGAGCGTTTGGTTTGTGTATCTTCAGTAACCCATACAACCTCGGCAGTTTGGTACATGGTGGTATTAGCGAATTCAGGTCGAAATTTAATTTTTCGGAATATTTCTTTATTAAATCGCTACTTGTTTTAAGCGTGCTAGTTGTGGGGTCTGTTTTGACCTTCGTCAGATAAAAGTTGTTCTATTTTAAAATTATATTCCGACGTGTCTATTATTACCATAGCATTTCCTTTATCCGCGCGGAGAATTGTGAGCTCTGGTCTATTCCGTAAGTTATTCAGCGCTGTAAATTTGTCTTTAGGAAGGTTTGGTTTCGGCACTGAACTACGACGTAACAAGAACTAAATATATTGACGTATAGCCTCCAAATCTTCCTTACCGATATTATTCTTAAACAGACAGTCCTCGACACTGCAGATAATTTCTGCGTACGGGATTTTTCGCGGTGTTAATGCGAAGTTCATTCCCTTCGCTAATACTTTCATTGTCGGTTCATCTAGTGTATGTTTTGACAAATTATAGACAGTGCGTTGTTTATCGTTTATGTCTATGGTCAACGGTTGTGTATTGTTCTGGCGTTGACTTGGATAATTTGTGATCGTTAGTTTTTGTTATTTTTCTATTTGTTTATTTTTGCATTCATTGTATTTCGATGTTTCTCGTTTGTTTAAAGTTTTGATGCAATTATTAAAATCAAATGTCGTTAAAATTATCTTTAGTTCACTGGACAAATTTTCTATGGTGTTATTTATGAAATGTAAATCGAACCGTTTCTGCTGAATTACCGTTCGTAACAACTTTTTACTTTCCTGATTTAAGATCTTAGCGCTTCCTCGAATGTCCTTTTTAGGATTCCGTAGTCAACTAGGAACCCTTATAGTTTCGCCATGTCTGTCTGTCCGTCTGTCCGTCCTCGCTTAATCTATGTGACCGTTAGCACTAGAAAGCTGAAATTTGGTACCAATATGTGTATCAATGACGCCGACAAAGTGGTAAAATAAAAATTGGAAAAAAATATTTTGTTAGGGTAGCCCCCCTATACTCACACACCACTCTACAGAGTGGGAAGTGATTTTTTTTTAATTTCCATCCTAACGTGTGATATATTGTTGGAAAGGTATTTAAAAATGAATAGGAGTTTACAAAAATCATTTTTGATAATGTCAATAATTTCGGAAATAATCGCTCCAAAAGTAAAAAAACAATGTGTCCCCCCCCTCTAACTTTTGAACCATAAGTTTAGAAAATATGAAAAAAATCTGAAAAGTGGAACTTTATAAGGACTTTATAGGAAAATCAACCACCATTCAAAAGTAGGAGGTGGTATTTCGGAATGTTAGCACAATTGTTAGATATACCGGCTTCACTCGTTCACTGTGACGTAGGCGCGGGACCCTAAGCTTGTTGTCTTGCAATACTTGCTTGACATGCTGAAGCTCGGCGGCCAGATGTTTTCTGTCACAGATCTCTCGTGCTCCCTGAAACAAAGATTTAAGTACCCACGGTAGCTAACTGTGAAGGATGATGGTGAGATTCACCATTTAGATATCAGTTGGTATGGGTCTTTTTTCTATACACAGTGTGACCAATAGTGTTATCAGGATTTCGGATGACTTAAACATCTAGGAATGCTAAAGAATTATTTGTCTCTAACTCCATTGTGAATTGTATTTTAGAGTTTATGGAGTTAAGGTGGTCTAAATATGCAGTTACTTTGTCAGATGGTAAAATTGTGAAAGTGTCGTCTACGTACCGCTTGTAGAACCTTGGATTTACAGGAGCAGTAAGAAGGGCTTTCTCCTCAAAGTCCTCCATGAATATGGGTCTCCCATAGTCGTCGACAGTGAACTACAATATCTCAGTCTCCCCCACGACTACGGGTGCTGTAAAAGACCCAAAACGTCGGGATAATAAAAATAAATTAAAGTTGAATTAAATGCGATAAAATCCGTAAAAAATAGTTTTATTTAATGTGTAGTGTTCCTGTAATTTTTTTACACATTTTTTTACTTCATTATGAAAGTTAAAAAAATTCTTAGTGAATTATGGTGTCCAAAACACGATTGATATATTTTGTATAGAAAAAGGTCGCAAAGTTTCCTCAAAATCTACAATTTTAGGTACGTCCACTACGTGAAAAAGTAGTTTCTTTCGAATGTAATGAAATCAAATTCGATCAAATTCGGGTTATGTGTTCACCAGTACATACGTGAGTGAATTATGGGTATTCCAATAAAAGGGTATATATAATTTTAAAAAGAAATATCAAATAAATATTGTGCTAATAAATTGCGCGTGAGCCGACCAATAAAACCCGCTAGTTATCCGCAACGCGTTGTAGAGAGCACCCGCGTACAACTTCTGTCGTCGTATAAACGTAACAATATATCAAAAAAATATTAATAGCCGTGGCAAACCGGTTTGAATACCTTCCTGAGTCCTAGTATCCACCCAAACAGTGAGCTAGTAGCGAGTAAAAAACATGCAAATATAGGTACTAAATATGTATATAATTCAAACTGATAAGTAAAAATTTGTTTTAGGTATGAGTAAAGTCACCATTTATTTTTTCCTCAGAGCGGGACGCCTTTAAAATTATTATAGTTTTAACACTTTTGACTTTTTGGTCTAATGGTCATAAACGCAATTGTTGATCATGTGGTCCCGGGGTCGAAACCTAAGTCGGGCCAAGAATCATTTGTTGGGTTTTCCTTTCATACAATTCTCATTAGTAGCCCGCAATATTGATTTCGAACTTGATGATTGATTACGTCTCGGATTATCGGACTATAAGAGTGAGGGAGTAGGGTAGACCAGTGCAAGATACAGATAAAGATAAAGATACATACATATATATAAAACATTAATTTATTGCATAACTGTGTACAATATGATCTTAGTACAAAAACATATAGTTTTAGGCTCAACAGTTTACCCATTTCGGATATGGAACAATTAAAAAAATAAATTTTAAATTTACTACTTATTAACATTAATTTTAT